TAGAGATGGGGTTTCACCATGTTGACCAGGATGGTCTCGATCTCTTGACCTCGTGATCCACCCGCCTCGGCCTCCCAAAGTGCTGGGATTACAGGCTTGAGCCACCGCGCCCGGCCAATCTATATGTTTAAAACCCATATAAAAAGTATTCTGGGTTCTGGCTTTAAAAAGAATCATGAGGTTCTCCTCCTGTTGGTTCAAGGGATTTTTCTGCTTTTTATCCTTTACTACAGACCTTCACTCTAATCTAGTTTTCCCAGTTTCACAACCTGTTGACTTCTATTTAAATTCTCTTTTTCTCCCTAGCCCCTAGGATTCATTATTTGTTTGAATAGTTTGCCTAGCTTTTTGGTTCAGCTTCTTGCAAGACACAGCCTTCTTGTCAGCTTCTCCTATTAGGTCTTAAGCACTGCCGCTCTTGGGCAAGTGACTTCTTGCCTTCAACACTGAATCCAGGCTCTTGGCCCTAGCAGGATGTTATGCCCTGAATGAGACTTGAATGCTTCCAATTGCTAACTGCTCCATTTCTCTCTCCAGCTGCCCTGACTTTGTTCAGGAGGATATATTTCACATATCTGCCCCTTTCTTGCCTTCTTTCTTGCTTAATGAAACCCTCATCGTAGTTTTCTGATTAGGATCCCTTTCTCCAGTCTTTACCCACTCCAGCCAGCCATCTTCCTCACCATCACCAGTTCTCTCATATTACCTGTCTGAATAAACTTCTTTTTTGAGATGGAGTCTGGCTCTGTTGTCCAGGCTGGAGGGCAGCGGTGCGATCTTGGCTCACTGCAACTTCTGCCTCCTGGGTTCAAGCAGTTCTCCTGCCTCAGTCTCCTGAGTAGCTGGGATTACAAACATTTGCCACCATGCCTGGCTAATTTTTGTACTTTTAGTAGAGACAGGATTCACCATGTTAGCTAGGCTGGTCTCAAAGTCTTTACCTCCAGTGATCTGCCACCTTGGCCTCCCAAAGTGCTGGGATTAAAGGCATGAGCCACCGTGCCCAGCCACCTGTGTGAATAAACTAGCAGCCTCTACATTGCTTTTCAAAATCTGACTCTATTTACCTTACTACTTCCACATCCGGCCACTTCTCTGCTTAACTGTAAGCTCCTTCAGGGCACAGACCATACCTTTTTTTCTTTGTATTCTTAATTTCTTTTCTTTTTTTCTTTTTTTTTTTTTTTTTT